TAGATATTGTATAGATATTGTATAGAGATTGTATAGATATTGTATAGAGATTGTATAGATATTGTATAGAGATTGTATAGATATTGTATAGAGATTGTATAGAGATTGTATAGAGATTGTATAGAGATTGTATAGATATTGTATAGAGATTGTATAGATATTGTATAGAGATTGTATAGATATAGTATAGATATTGTATAGAGATTGCATAGAGATTGCATAGAGATTGCATAGATATTGCATAGATATTGCATAGAGATTGCATAGATATTGCATAGATATTGCATAGATATTGCATAGAGATTGCATAGATATTGCATAGAGATTGCATAGAGATTGCATAGATATTGCATAGAGATTGCATAGATATTGCATAGAGATTGCATAGATATTGCATAGAGATTGCATAGAGATTGCATAGAGATTGCATAGAGATTGTATAGAGATTGCATAGAGATTGTATAGAGATTGCATAGAGATTGTATAGAGATTGCATAGATATTGTATAGATATTGTATAGATATTGTATAGATATTGTATAGATATTGTATAGATATTGTATAGAGATTGCATAGAGATTGCATAGAGATTGCATTAGAGATTGCCATAGAGATGGCATAGAAGATGGCATAGGATTGCCATAGAGATTTTGACATGAGATTGCATAGAGATTGCAAGAGATTGCATAGATATTGCATAGAGATTTGCATAGAGATTGATAGAGATTGCATAGAGATTGCATAGAAGGAGATTGCATAGAGATGCATCGAGATTGATAGAGATTTGCATAGATATGCATAGAGGTTTGCATAGAGGTTGCATAGAGGTTGCATAGAGTTGATAGAGGTTGATAGAGGGTTGCATAGAGGTTGCATAGAGGTTGCATAGAGGTGGAATAGGAGGTTGCATAGAGGTGCATAGAGGTTGCATACAGGTTGCCATAGAGGTTGCATAGAGGTTGCATAGAGGTTGCATAAGGTTGCATAGAGGTTGTATGAGGTTGTATAGAGGTTGTATAGATATTGTATAGAGGTGTATAGATATGTATAGATATTGATAGATATTGTATACGATATTGTATAGATATTGTTATAGCTATGTATACGATATTCTATAGATATTGTCTTAGATATTGTATAGATATTGTATAGAGATTGTATAGAGATTGTATAGAGATTGTATAGAGATTGTATAGAGATTGTATAGAGATTGTATAGAGATTGTATAGAGATTGCATAGAGATTGTATAGAGATTGCATAGAGATTGCATAGAGATTGCATAGAGATTGCATAGAGATTGCATAGAGATTGCATAGAGATTGCATAGAGATTGCATAGAGATTGCATAGAGATTGCATAGAGATTGCATAGAGATTGCATAGAGATTGCATAGAGATTGCATAGATATTGCATAGAGATTGCATAGATATTGCATAGAGATTGCATAGAGATTGCATAGAGATTGCATAGAGATTGCATAGAGATTGCATAGAGATTGCATAGAGATTGCATAGAGATTGCATAGAGATTGCATAGAGATTGCATAGAGATTGCATAGAGATTGCATAGAGATTGCATAGATATTGCATAGAGATTGCATAGATATTGCATAGAGATTGCATAGATATTGCATAGATATAGCATAGATATTGCATAGATATTGCATAGATATAGCATAGATATTGCATAGATATTGCATAGATATTGCATAGAGATTGCATAGATATTGCATAGAGATTGCATAGAGATTGCATAGAGATTGCATAGAGATTGCATAGAGATTGCATAGAGATTGCATAGAGATTGCATAGAGATTGTATAGAGATTGCATAGAGATTGTATAGAGATTGTATAGATATTGTATAGATATTGTATAGATATTGTATAGATATTGTATAGATATTGTATAGATATTGTATAGATATTGTATAGATATTGTATAGATATTGTATAGGTATTGTATAGGTATTGTATAGGTATTGTATAGATATTGTATAGGTATTGTATAGATATTGTATAGGTATTGTATAGATATTGTATAGATATTGTATAGATATTGTATAGATATTGTATAGATATTGTATAGATATTGTATAGATATTGTATAGATATTGTATAGAGATTGTATAGAGATTGTATAGAGATTGTATAGAGATTGTATAGAGATTGTATAGATATTGTATAGAGATTGTATAGATATTGTATAGAGATTGTATAGAGATTGTATAGAGATTGTATAGAGATTGTATAGAGATTGTATAGAGATTGTATAGAGATTGTATAGATATTGTATAGATATTGTATAGATATTGTATAGAGATTGTATAGAGATTGTATAGAGATTGTATAGATATTGTATAGATATTGTATAGATATTGTATAGAGATTGTATAGAGATTGTATAGAGATTGTATAGAGATTGTATAGAGATTGTATAGAGATTGTATAGAGATTGTATAGAGATTGTATAGAGATTGTATAGAGATTGTATAGAGATTGTATAGAGATTGTATAGAGATTGTATAGATATTGTATAGATATTGTATAGATATTGTATAGATATTGTATAGATATTGTATAGATATTGTATAGATATTGTATAGATATTGTATAGATATTGTATAGATATTGTATAGATATTGTATAGATATTGTATAGATATAGTATAGATATTGTATAGATATTGTATAGATATAGTATAGATATAGTATAGATATAGTATAGATATAGTATAGATATAGTATAGATATAGTATAGATATAGTATAGATATAGTATAGATATAGTATAGATATAGTATAGATATAGTATAGATATAGTATAGATATTGTATAGATATTGTATAGATATTGTATAGATATTGTATAGATATTGTATAGATATTGTATAGAGATTGTATAGAGATTGTATAGATATTGTATAGAGATTGTATAGAGATTGTATAGAGATTGTATAGATATTGTATAGATATTGTATAGAGATTGTATAGATATTGTATAGAGATTGTATAGAGATTGTATAGATATTGTATAGATATTGTATAGAGATTGTATAGATATTGTATAGAGATTGTATAGATATTGTATAGATATTGTATAGATATTGTATAGATATTGTATAGGTATTGTATAGGTATTGTATAGGTATTGTATAGGTATTGTATAGGTATTGTATAGGTATTGTATAGGTATTGTATAGGTATTGTATAGGTATTGTATAGGTATTGTATAGGTATTGTATAGGTATTGTATAGGTATTGTATAGATATTGTATAGGTATTGTATAGATATTGTATAGATATTGTATAGATATTGTATAGATATTGTATAGATATTGTATAGATATTGTATAGATATTGTATAGATATTGTATAGATATTGTATAGATATTGTATAGATATTGTATAGATATTGTATAGAGATTGTATAGAGATTGTATAGAGATTGTATAGAGATTGTATAGAGATTGTATAGAGATTGTATAGATATTGTATAGATATTGTATAGATATTGTATAGATATTGTATAGAGATTGTATAGAGATTGTATAGAGATTGTATAGAGATTGTATAGAGATTGTATAGAGATTGTATGGATTAATATAGTACAGGCAAAGGAATAACGTGGATCCGCCCAGGCTGCTTACAAGAGTCCTTGAACCTCGTAGAAGTTTTTGTTCCTTCGGGATGCAGCTTGCCATAGCTTGCCTGTCTCCAGATGTAGGAACATGATGCATACTGTATGCCATGCAACCGCAACATAGGCGCATGGGACATATATGGACATATGGATGACATATGGGATAGAATCAGGCCCGAGCAATCCAGGAGCACTACGAACTGCAAAAACATGCAAAAACTATCACAATACTGTCACATAGTATTCATAGTATGATAGTATGTGGCAGGCAACCTCCTGCATCTTAGATCCTCCAAATCATGGGCCTGGTTCTGGAAAAGATCTCCAGATCTTTTGTGATTGGTGAGCCTTTGTGTGTGATCGCTTAGCTCAGGCCCCCTTCCCTGGTCACATGCCACCCTTCGGCTTCCCGTTTGGAACCTCAATGTAGCACATGGCATGCCATGCACTTTTGATGGAATGCTTCTAACTTGCCAATGTACAATTGACAGTAGCTTGGCAAACATTCACCCTGTTCCACCTTTTTCAGTTCTGAAATTGCATGATGTTGCCTCATGTTGCATGACATTGCACGACATTTGGCACAGTTGCATGACTTCAGATGACGTCAGATGACTTCTACATCCTGCAGATCCTGCAGATCCTGCAGATGTTGCCTTTTGCGTTGCTGTTGCAGAACCTGAGGCCGCCAGGGGCACCGTTCGGCTACCCGCACCTTCCACCGGGCTATCCACCTCCGTCAGCTCCTGAATCGGCGTCACGGCGTCACGGCGTCCCGGCGCTGCACGGTACGTCCGCACAGCGCAGTGGCATAGCTGTGGCATCGCAGTCGCATAAATCAGCATAAATCATAGCATGATCTGAATCATCGCAGATCACAAGATATCACAAGAATCTAAGAAGCTCAATAAAAAGTTCAGCAAGTTGCCGAGCTGCCGCAACTTTGACCCTCGAAGAGTGTGAAGAGTGATCTCACCTGATGAGTCACTTGTTTCACAGGGTGTATGACGTATGCCTGTCCCCTTCTCAAGCCTGAGGCCAGGGATGTATCCGCCGCATCCACCAGGTCCCACATCAGTTGTCTGACGGAGTGTTCTGCATGATTTTGGAAAGTGAGCGCCGAGAGATAGGATCGTTGGGAGGCTATCCTGCGCCTCCGGGCTACTATGGACCACCCGGCTACCCAGGCAAAGCATTTGCAAAGCATTTGCAACAGAATGCAGAGAGATGTTCTGAATGTGTTGCATTTGTTGCTTTGCGTGATAATTTGACTTGGGATGATATAGTTGATCCATGTTGATCCAACATACATACATTATATATATACATCCAATATTGATCCTAGCATCGTCGTCACATGTCGTCACTAGTTGACCCGTGGATCACCTGTGGCCGTTGTGGCCGTTGTGGCCGTGGAGTCCGTGGAGCCAACTTTGGAGCCATGGCGGCCATGGCGTTTGTCGCACCTGTCGCACCTGTCGCACCTCTGCGTGAGGGACTTTTTCTGCCCGGCCACAAGCTGAGACCCACATGGCAGACGCTGGGCCCGGATAGCAACACTTGTCTTTTGATATCTTGTGAGAATAAGTTGAATAACTGATGACAGAGAGAAAAAAGGAATGACAATGCCACATGCTATGTTTTTTTGATTGACAGCCTCGCGCATTAGCGCCACCCCGTGCCACGCAGTGCAGGAGTGGATCCTCAATGAGAAGCTCCATGTGCTGGGCCTGTTGTGCCTTTGCATATTTGGGTCGGCAGCTGTCCGTGGCACGTGCCGCGAAGCCAAAAGGCAAAGGGAAGAAGAAGGGCGGTGGCGGTGGAGCCCCCGTTCCAATTCCATCTTCTGACAGCGCAGCACCAGATGCTTACGACCAAGAGACACGGGATATCATCCTCTCTCTGGATCATGTCGAAAAGAAATCGCAAGATGGAAGTTACATCTTGAAAGATGTTTGTCTTGGCATGTACATGGGAGCCAAAATCGGCATCTTGGGCAAGAACGGCGCTGGGAAAAGCACAGTGATGCGAATCCTGTCAGGGCAAGATCCGGAATTTCTGGGGGATTTGACCATGGATCCCTCCATCCAAGTTGGATATTTGCCCCAAGAGCCTGTGTTGGAAGAGGAAACTGTCATCGACGTCCTTGAGCCTGCAGTGCAAAAGACCAGAGATTTGCTGAAGAAATTTGAGGATGTGACCGCCCAAATGGGTGAAGAAGATGCTGACATTGATGCTCTTGTCGAACAGATGGAGATACTTGGCAGATCTTGGCAGTGCAGTGTGGGATGTGGGAAACATAGGAAACAAAGCACAAAAGATCAGAAAAGATGAACATTCAACTTTGTGGATCCTGATGTTCCTCCGCGACAAGTTTTGTTTGGCAGTCCTCTTCATGATCTTCATGCAATCTCCTTGTCCGGCATCTCTGAAAGCCACAAAACTGTGACTAAATCCTACACATCCAACACATGGATCATATTTTACTGCGGGAATTTGTTCTGAATACTTCGAAACACCGCAAAATTGCCATAGTGGCACCCCATGGCACCCCCAAAGCTAACCCCCAAAGCTAACCCCCAAAGCTAACCCCCAAAGCTAACCTGAAGGCACGTCGTGCTCACGTCGTGCTCACGTGCTCACGTGCCCTGTCGCTGTAGGAAGTTGCAGGGCAAAATCGACGCCTGCAACGCTTGGGCCATCGACGACAAGTTGGACGAAGCCATGGAGGCGCTGCGCTGCCCACCGCGCGACGCGAAGATTGCGAAGTTGAGCGGCGGAGAGCTGCGCCGCATCGCCATCTGTCGCTTGTTGTTGTGCCTTGGATCAATTGCGATCAATATTCATTATATTATATATTATATAATATATATTTAATATCAATATCATTAAATATCTATCTTTATATAATAGCTATATATATATGTATATTTGTATCATTCGGATCCAGGTGGATAGGGATTTTTCTAAATGTTTTGTCTTTGGGACATATATCGGTTGTAGACCATGGATCCAGCATGTTTCTGCTAGATCAGATCGGCAGAGTCGTAAGATCTGGCAAGAAGTTGTAAGGGAGGGACGAAGTTCAAGAGGATTACTGATGGTGAAGCTGTTTTATGGATGGATTTTCTGGCCATTTTTCATGCTGCAGAGAAGCCAATTTGTAACTGGCAAGCCAGATGAATTTCGAGAAAGCTTATATTCAGTAGCAACGGGCCCGTAAAGACAGGTAGACAGAAAGGATTTCCCCTGATTTTATAGGCATGTAATTGCGTGGCATTATGTATGACTGTACAATTTATGCATTTTGAATCATTTTGATATCTTGCTCCTTCCCATGTGGGGCCAACAGTAGGTCTTCTCCAGACATTTTGCTACTGGATGAGCCCACCAACCACCTGGATGCCCAAAGTGTGGCATGGTTGGAACGTTTTCTGGCAGAGTTCAAGGCGCGATAAATCGGGCAGATTTACGATCACGATTGTTCCACTGGAGGGTCAAACAAGTCAAACAGATACATACAGATACTAGAGGAATCTAGAGGATCTGATTGATAGATTGCGCATGATTGCGCTAGTCCAACGTTGACAACTCTTGAATATTGGTCAAAGATGATTATAAGCATGGCGAAAGGCGGTTGCTGAGAGCCCTTCCGGATCCTTTTGGCAGTCATCACTTGTGAGCTGACAGGGAACGGTGGTGGCCATCACCCACGACCGCTACTTCTTAGACAACGTGGCCGGCTGGTCGCTTGGCTGCGTTTGACTGCTTTTGAATGCCTCGACTGCATCAAATCCGCACGTCTTCGCGTCTCATTTCGACTGAGAGCGGGCTGAGAAGGTGAAGGAAGGAGAAGGAGACATTTGCCGGAGATCTGAGGATTTTGGAGTTAGATCAGGGAAAAGGCTTGCCATTCCAGGGCAACTACTCTGGTTGGTTGGAGCACAAGGCAGATCGCTTGAAGAGCGAGGCGAAGAGAAAGTCTACCTTGGAATCGCAGATGGCCAAGGACCGTGACAGGAAAAAACATTTTCAAGATCTTTCAAAGCACCTCATAGAGTTTCCAAGTGAGCTCCTATCAAAGCATCTCAAAACATGATGGTTGAACAATTCAGAGAGGGAATCCGAAGTTCAAGTCCCTGGGATCCACCTGAATAGGCTGAATAGGTACAAAATTCACAGTTTGGCAAGAGAGATCTCCCGACAGCTTGCAGCATTGCACCCTCCAACGCATAGGTAATGTATGATATGTATGGCAAGCGCTCCTGTGTGTTTATAGAGGGGAAAAAAACACACTGTGTATTGCCAGATCGTCAGTGACACCTTCCTACCTGAGTAAACTGAGCAAACAGCTTTGAAAGGCTCACAGTGTCCTCTTTCTGGAAGGAGTTGGAGTTCATCCAGAATACTCGTGCTGGAAGGCCTGGAGTGATTTGGAGAGATGTCTGGAATGTATATGAATGTATGGAGTGTCGAATTCCTAAGCCAGCTGCTCCGTGGCTAGTCCGAAGTCCTGGAGATGTTTTGGCGCCACTCATGACAGGCAGAAGAAAGGGAAGGCACGTTTGCGAGCCACAGCTGCAACAAGAGCGAAGTAGAGTCGCTGAGTCAACATGAGTCACATTGCATCCATTCCCAGTAATTCATGAACTTCAATAGAAGCGATCTCAAGGGTCCACAGAGTCTTGACATAGGACACACGTTAACGCTTACTATATCTTATTATGACTTATAAATTAGCACAATTTAAAGTGGTTATCAATATATATCAATATAAATATATGGTTATCACATGTTTGATTTCGTGAAGTCCGTGAAGTGAGGAAAATACGAGGAGTTGGAGTCGGCCGCTGCAGCTTTCAATCGCAGCTCCGAGCTGGATTCCATCGTCATTACTCCAGGACCTCGCCTCGAGCCCCGGTGCAGAAATGGCGAGAAACATTTCGACAAATAGACATACGTTGACAATCATTTCATATGTTGAATATGTATGACAATGTATGAATATATGTTGACATGCTGGTCCCAAAAGGGAGCGCAGTGACATACAATACAAACCCACAGAGATCCTCAGATTCAAACAAGCTAAACTGAGCCAATCTTTGACCTGCGTGATCCAGTACAACATGACATAGCATGACCATGTGTATGACATGCGTATGGCATATGTATATTATATGTATGACCTATGGACACCTATGTATGACCTAATTATGACCTATGGTTCTGTGGCAATTCTGTGAGACGTTTGTTTTACAACCCTCGGATTCCCGAAGCCTGGCTGAGGATCCACGCGAACCGGTGGTGACTGCGAAGGGTCTTTGCAAAGGTTATGGAGACCGATTGCTAATTAGCGATGCTGACTTTGAGTTTCTTGTCAGAGCCTGCAAATTTGAAAGCTTTCACTTTCACCTTTCCAGCTTTCACCCAGATTCCAATCGTAACACGAGAGGTTTGAAACTTAGAGCTCTTGCAGGGCTTAGCCGGGCTTAGCCGCTTAGCGCTGAACTGTCTTCAGTACTGTGATCATTGGCATTTCGCACATTCAGATCGTCAGGATCCCTCCGGGAGCTGTCGTTGGCATTGTGGGTCCCAACGGAGCGGGAAAATCGACGCTCTTTAAGATGATGATGGGCACAGAGACTTGTCTCGTATGTCTTTCAGACATGTTTGTCATATGTTTGTCATTGCATGATTTAATGACTTAGACATATTTAAATATTGCTTAAACATATACTTAAATATCAAACAGCAAGGGGGCTCCATGCTGACATTTTGGCATACTTTGGAGGAGAAGCCGGACCAGGGTGAATTGAAGTTGGGCAAGACAGCAGCACCGATGTACGTGGAACAAATGAGGGAAGACTTAGATCCCAATTCCACGGTCTTTGAAGAGCTGACGGACGGCCTGGACTCTTTTAACATCGGAGGTCGAGAGGTCAACAGTCGAGCATATTGCTCTTGGTTCAATTTTAAAGGCAAAATCCAACAGCGAACTGTTTCCTCCCTCAGTGGTGGTGAGAGAAATCGCCTACAACTTGCAAAGACATTGCGTCTTGGTGGCAACTTGTTGATGTTGGATGAGCCTTCCAACGACTTGGATGTGGAGACGTTGAGGGCCCTGGAAACCGCCATTGAAAATTTTGCGGGAACTGTGCTGTGCATCAGCCATGACCGATGGTTCTTGGACCGCATTGCTACCCACATCATCGCTTATGAAGGAGACTCTGAGCTGAAATTCTTTGAAGGCGGATATAGCGAATACGAGGACGATTTGTTGGCCCGTAAGGGAACCAGAGATCCCATGAAGGTGAGTTACAAGCCCATGCCAACCTTTGCTTAGTCGCCGTATGTTGCCGCGAAAAGCTGCGGAAGCTCCGAAAATCGGCCGAAGCTGGATTCGAGACGAGATTTTGATTTGGAGCAGTTTGATGATATTTGATATATGTTTGAATAATTTGAATAATATTTGATATATTTGATGATGATGAATATATGGTTTGAATATGTTTGATACATTTTGGAACAGAACTGGCTCAGCACTGCGGTGAGTTTGTTGAGAATCCGATTGTCCAGGTC